AAAGTAAAATCGTAAAATATCAGAATCTGAAATATAGTTCAGGTTATTACGTTATAGTCTGATGATAAAACATACAACTACAACTTTATAACTTCAGATCATTGAATTAAAATTATTTGTTGAATTTGGTTCAATCAGTAACTTGAAATGATAAAATCCAGAATGAGGTCATTCAGTTTAAAAGGACCATATTTGTATGTTCACATTATTTGAGTGCAGGTATGTCTGAGAGCAGAGAGCATTCCCACACATGTATGTGAACGCAGCATATGTGAGCATTAAGCTGTATGAACACATGTCAAGGACGACTGTGGAGAAAGGAAACATGCTTTCAAAACCAAGCATCCAATCATCCGGGAAAAACTTTTCACTGGGAGAAATGAGGCGAAGGAGCGACAAAGTATATTAATGCCCCACAATCCATCTTTAAGCAACAATGAGAACCATTCATTTCCCCATAATCCGATTCACACTGGGGCCAAATGGACTCTGACCCATTCAGCTGCAGCGGAGCCCCCAGTGACAGACCTACAGCAGAGAGGGCTGCCGTCACCTGGAACACGTCCTGAACATCAACATGGGCACAATCCCAGCACTACTGAGAATTCTAACTTCCAGCTGTGGTGTGGCTACACAGAAATACACACACACAAACACACTCACACACACACACTCACACGCACACACACACACACGCACACACACACACACACACACACACACACACACACGCAAAGCTGTCCTTTGTGGAACATGGAACTTGATAAACACATACACAGTCACACACAGACAGACATGTATACATACTCGCACATGCAAACACAACGCACACATTCTTGTCTGCACGTGTCTTTTTTGTGTGCACTGCTGCTAAGTCAAATAAGCACACATGCACACACAACACACACACACATGCACTGGGCTTGATAGAGGGGAAGTGAGGACCACGTGCAGAGGGCTGCTACATGGCAGCAGTGTGTGGGGTCAAGGCCTTTCCCAGGTACAAATGAAAGCGAGAGGAGAGACTTTGGAAGAGCTGAACAACACTGTGGGTCACCTTGCCTGGCAAAGAGATCAATGTCTGTTTGACTGGCTGAGAGAGAGAGAGAGAGAGAGAGAGAGAGAGAGAGAGGGTAAATCACCTCTTGCTTCATTGAAATGCAGGTAAAACACACAGGGGTCGGACTCAGCTTCACGCTCCACACTGTATAAAACAACTTGTGCATGTGCAGACTTATACACGCAGACAAACTGCACACGAACACACACACACACACACACACACACACACACAGTAGCATAATGCACTCAGTTTCCAAACACCACCACGTTCGCTTCGGTCCAAAACACACCACTCCACTGACTCTGTGCCCTGCAACTCAACTCACTGTCGAAAACATCAACACAGCCTCAGCTCTGTTTATCTGTGAATCAGAATATTGTGATCACTTATAATTAAATCATGATCAGCTTTCATCTGTTGCCCTTTAGTTATGCATTCTGTGGAGACCCTCTTATACAAGCAAATGCAAATCGTACATTTGAATTCTAACGTACACAAAACACGAGACACACTAAATGTGCGGATTCTTTTTTCACAGCTGAGGATTTGGCATTGATCTCATTTCAACACAGGACTATAGGACTGGATCCAGACTTTCACATCACCCCCACTCTTCCCGTGAGTCTATTTACTGGGAGAAAGAATCACCATGTAAAGCCAATGAGAGACACGGAGGTGGTGGAACCAACCTTCTTTACGGCTGCTGCATTCTCACCACATGCACAGCAGCGACAGGAGGGGACAAGTTAAATTATTGAGGTTTCAAATAAATGACACATAACTCAGGACACTGGGAGACAGAAGGAGAGAGAGAGTGGGAGAGAGAGAGGGAGAGGAAGGGAGAGAAGCTCTGGCTTTGCAGGACTAGATGAAGGACGGACCACAGAGGAACATGAATGCAGCTGATTTAAATCACTTTAAATGTAAATGTTTATCGTGTGGAGTGATGCAGATGTGCACTGAGTGAAAGAGATGGAAATTGTTTCCTCTTTTGAATGCGAATATGTTTTCATCCCTTTGAGGGGGATTTGTCGTAAGGACGAGAGCGCGCACACACACACACACACACACACACACAGGAAAAGAAGACGAACGTACACAAAAGACAACAGTTGTGTTACAAAATGAGATGTGACTCCTGCTGTTACAAACTACATTGAAGTAATTGAATTATTTTTAATTTACCAAGAGATAATAACACCTTCAGGTAATAGTTGTTTTTATATTTTTGAGAAATACCACATGCTTATTGCTCAACTAGTTATAGCAACAATGAATTAATATAGTGTGTGTGTAGAAACATTTATACAGCCTATCTTTTTTGCACCTGTGTCCTTTGCCCTCAACTTTATCTGCGCTATATGAGATTAAACTAAAATTATTTGTTTTACTTCCATTTATTTGTATTCATTTTAATTGACGTATAGAAGCATCTCAATGACGTGACTAAATCCTGTAGATTGAATCCACTCAGCTACAGCAGACACACACACACACCCTTCATCACAATGTCAAGTAACAGACGATGCCTGCGAGTTATCGAGCACCCGCACAAACAGACTCTAAACTGTGCGCACGTCCTTTGTCATATTAATTCTGAGGCATTAAAGCGAAGTACATGATGATGATTCAAATGTCAATACTGATAAATCTCAGAGTGATTTCCCATACTTGACCTAAAAGAGAGAGTCCAATATTGTGACAGCAGACAACTGCATTATCTTTAATAACCTAATCATTGGACAGACTGCAAATGATTCCAGTGCAGAAGTCAATATGCTGAGCCCGAGAATAGAATCACAGCTCATACTGGTGAGATTAATAATAGGGCCTGTGTGTGTGTGTGTGTATATACACGTACTTCAGTCTTTACAAATGAAGGAGCGGAAGCAACAGACGGTGAATCTGGTCGAGTGCTGAGAAATGAAGAGGAAGTGCTAAAATGTTTCCCCTGCCTTCTGTGCTCCCTCAACACAGGAAGTGAATCAGTGCAACTAAGTCCTCCTGCCCGCTGGTGTGTCTGCAAGTCAAAACACACAAAAACAAGAACACAGCATCCCACACGATTTCCACAGCCGGCAAATGAGCAACAATTTTCCACTGTATCAGTCTTACGCTTTGAACTGAACGCAAAACACTGTGAAAACCTGTGAGCCACTACAGAGAGCTCCTGTCTGTCACACAACACTGCTGATGTCCAGGTGAGACCATCCCGAGCCAAATCCTCAGGCTCCCGGCAAAACTCAGCCGGTCTGCCTCACACAGGTGCCGAGGAAGAAGTATAGCATCTCCAGTTCTAGGTTATAACACAAATGTAATTAAACAGCACACTATATTGACCTAATCAGATAGGAGGGCCATAAATTAGTGGACACATGCTCACTAAAAGGCCCTCTCCCCTCAGCTAGGATGCATCTCTGATCGTTTATCATCTGAAAGGAGCAGGAAGGCAGCCAGCATTTCTCTCCCTCTCTCTCTCTCTCTCTCTCTCTCTCCTGCTCTATCTCTGTCTCTCACTCACTTTTAATCACAGAGAAGATCATTCCTTCAGGCATGAGAGCATTATGCTCGCCCGTCTTGTCCCTCACTCTGGGTGAACGGGAGCCAACAGGGGCCAGGTGACTGCTGCACAGGTGGAAGAGCACAGAGCTGACGTGCACACGCTTTGTCTCCAACTCCACATGCAAACATGCTCCTGCTGTCCTGCATTTAAAAGCATCCACAGCTACACACATATTCATAAAAACAGGAAAGCACTCTTCATGTGCCCAGACAGAGCAAATCCAAGCACTCAGACTGTCAAAGGTCGAGCAGCAGGAACAGATAACATCCCTTCTCCACACATGGAAACCACACAGGTTTCCAGCAGCATGCATTGTGGTGACAGTGACCTTGCATAACACACAGGACCCTGCATAGCTTTTATCTGAACCACATACTGTCCTCAGTGAGTTCCCCAGGAGAAGAACCTCTGCGGGCCAGATTCAGTCCAGACTACACCATGACCTGACCAGTCTTTACAAAAACAAATTACTCGACTCCTTCTGAGGCTTTTATTCTTCCAGCATCCTGACGTCACACATCAAATGAAAGGATCTTTACGCACGCGGATCAACACAAAGTGTCGCGTGTCAGGACGACAGAGAAAACTGTTTGGTTTTAAAAACAATAAATGTAATTTAGACTAAATAGAAACAAGGTCATAAAACAGCACAATTATAGTTTACCTGCATTAAATATATCATCAGATACAGCTAAAATTGAAATTCATATATTTAGAATTACACTATTACACGTTTTGTTGAGTCATTTTTATTTCTAACATTTAAATTTTCGTCTGCGCTCGATTTAGAAATGAGACTTTCCACCCGCAGCGCACATTCAACAAGTGCACATCTGCCGAGGAAAAAGTGCAAGTTTACTCTAAAATCAATCATTAACATTTTTAGGACACACGCAGCACAGTTATAAGGCCCCGAGGACAAACTTTAATTATGTTAAAATATAGTCAGCGGTTTGATGCGCTTTTTCTGCTGCACGGTTTTTTAAAAGAGACATTTCAGAGCTTTTGTCTTTAATTGCGCAACAAGTTGAGGCGGTCATTTTTATTTCTCTAAAAGAAAAAGTCATATATAAAAAAAAGAAAATTAAATGAAATAATTTGGAGTTTGGTTTTAAGGAATAAAGCAATGAATAACGTGTGGGATAAAATGACTTACAGCGAACATATATTAGAGATGAGCATGATCTTGGAGCTGCTATAATTTAAATCCAAACCAGATGTTCATGAGCAGATGTTTATATTATCTCAACATCTGTTTTGGATATTTTCTTCTGTTTTCAGTTTAGAAAACTCCTCAAAGACACATGTGACAAACAACATGCAAAAGGAAATAGTAACAATAAACATGTTCAGGAGAATGTCTGTATCCATCCATGAAGGTTCATTGATGAATGGTACATTTATTAAATTCCATTTTGATGAAACAGTGAACACGACACCTGCCTGTTAACTGGACTGTCCAGACAATGCATTAGAGCATCACAGAAGATGTTTGTGGCTGCAAGATGATTTATCTTCAATTATTCTACAACATGTTATTTCAATTTCCACACAGTTTATTCACCGAGTAAAGACCCACAGGGCTTCTGGTTCCACTTAATTCCGTTCCTTTGAATGAAAGGAAAACACACTAACGACGAACTGCAGACAAAAGAGATCAAATGTTGCAACAATGTTTTTGCGCAGACAAAGTTGCCTGTTTGTGTTTTTCATTTATTCCAGGACATGCATCTTAATCTGCATCTTTTACTGCGCCAACATTTTATCTCCAGTCCCACTTGTTGATCTATTTAATCTGTTAGGAAAAATGAAATTTCTGCTAAACACCCCGATGCTGTTCACTTTCTGTATGAATCAATATTGCGTACAAAGTTGTTTTATTCCACAAAGTCATTTTCCCCACAAGGCTCCAAAAAAAGAAGCCTGTAAAACGTTCGCCCTGAACTTTTATAATATTGACGGATGAATGAACTTCTCCACTTTTTTTTCTGTTTCCCACAAATGATTCCCTCAAAAGGTGATGACGCTGAACAATGCAGTCATGATATATAACACAATCATTATACACAAATTCACAAAAAGAGGAAACAGAAGGAAAATAAGGTAAAAACACAGTCCGCACATGACCAGCATGCATGGCTTCACATCACAGTCCGTTTCACATCCATCTCCAAACTTCTGCCCGAAGACTTTGGATGCTTTTTTTTTTTTATTAAGACACATGGATGATATGAAAATGAGATCATTCATATCAAAAATAACCTGAACACAAAATAAATTCACATTCAAAAATAAAGCTGCTGGTGCCTGAGGATTGTTTCATGTCGGGTGAGGATGGACGAGGCGCAGGATGAGGCTGTGTGAGCGGACCCGCTGCGACGTGCGGAGCAATTTACTCAACTTAAGTCCTTTAGAATATTTAGAAAACCTTCATTCATTTTTATTTTCACAGTCTTTTTGTGTAAAAGCCCATGTGTGCATCCTTTAAATGTGATCAAACAAAATCCTCACCCCGAAACAAAAAAAACCTCTGAAATACAGAAAAAGTGGAAAAACTTACTGAACTAACGCAGGTTTAACAAAAACAACACAAACACGCACAACCTGTGTTAAAGCTGCGCGCGAATTTAAAGTTGTTGTTTTTTTTCTCGTGTTTCTTTGTGAGGCCGGTTATTAAAACTTTTCAGCGCCGAGACTCACATGAAAAACTCCGGGGATGACGGGTTGTTGTCGCTGCTGGATCCTCCGTTTTCTCTGAAGCCGGTGCTGATGAGCTTCTCGTATTTCTCCTTGTAGGCGTCCCTCTCCCTGGCCAGCCGGGAGATCTCCTGCTTGAGGTGGTCCACCTGCTGGATGAGCTGCGTCTTCTCCCCCTCCAAGACGTGCCGCTGCTGGACCCGCTTGTACCGGCAGGACTGGGCATAGCCCCTGTTCTTTAATGTCCGCCTCTTCTGTTTCAGACGGATCACCTCTTCCTTGCTGACCCCCCGGAGCTGCCGGTTCAATTCCCGCACCGACATGGTCACCAGCTGCTCGTCCGAGAACCGATCCTCCATGCGCATGTGCTGGTGGTTTCCCCCCGCGCCGCCGCCGGACTGAGACCCGGAGGACGGGTGGTGAGCCCCTGTGTGGTGGTGGTGGTGATGGTGGTGATGGAGATGTGGAGCCCCGTTCTGAGCTGCGGCTGCAGCGATGACCGCGGACACCACGGCGGCCGCTGATCCCATCTCTTCCCCGGCCATGGCGCCTCCTGCCCCGGCTGCGCCGCCGAACTGCTGCCCCCTGGCATAGCCATCGAAGGTCTGGAGCTGGTGACTGCTGCTGATCAGCGCCTCTACGGCGTCCTCCGGGCTAAAGCCCAGAGCCTCGGGGTTCAACTGCTGTTGGTACCCGGTCATCCAGTAGAAATCCTCCAAGTGCGCCTTCTGTTCGCTCCCTGATCCCGGACTGGGCGCCGAGAAGCTTGGAGAGGGGGGAACCGAGCTGCAAGGCGTGCTCATCGGGGTGGAAGATAGGGATCCCCCGGCGACCAGGCGGCTGCACTGGCTGATGCTGCGATCGGGCTCCACCGGCTCCTTTTTCACTTCAAACTTCATCAGATCGAAGTCATTAACATATTCCATGGCCAGGGGACTGGTGGGCAGGTCGGAGTTGCTCATTGCCAGTTCTGATGCCATCCTCTTGCTGTTGACAGTCCTCCAAAGGGGGTGAGGAGCACCTGTCAAAGTGGGCTGTTGAGACACGCACTGAGCCAGCTTGATTTCTTTATTTATTTTCTTCAGAACCGAAGGAAAAGTGGGTTTTCTCGCACTAATTGCGCAGCGCAGGTTTTGGTTTTGCGCGTCGAGAAGTTTTTTTTTCTTCAGTCTGTGCCGCACAGACGCATTGGAGCAGCGCTGTTTCCTCCCTCTCTCCCAGCGTGCGGGTGTCTGAGCGCAGCTCTCTCTGTTTCTACCATTTAACACTTCATGGCTCCTTTTAGGATTAGTGCGCCAATTTGAGGAGGTTCACCAATGTGTCCCGGGCAAACAGTTGCCTTGTGGAGGAAGGGGGGGAAAAAAACCTCCACCCGAGGATTGATAGATTTTTTTTTCTAAGGGATCAGTCAGCCGACGAGTTAAAAAGCATTGCTTAGTTTTATAGGCGCCCTGACGTCACGACTGAAATATGAAATTGACCGAGACTCAGCCAATGAGAAGCGCAGCCTGCACACGTTATTAGCATAATAGTTCAGAAAGCAAAGTTTTCTGGACTGTCCGAGCTCATCAGCAGATTGACACGAGACTTTACATTTCATCCCTCTCTCTTGTTTTTACACGGAAAACAAAGAGAGAAGGAAAAACAAAGCACATCAGATCCTGAGGATTACGCACAGACACACGGTGAATATGAACCTTTATAGAATAGTACGCCCTCGTGATTTGAACACATATTTTATATTTTTACATTATAATAAACACATAAAACATTATTTTAATTACATTTTAAATTCAGATTTTTCAACGTCATTCTATTTTTTCAGTGTGGTCTGTTTATTCTAAGTGCTGCTCTCATATGGATGCTGATATATTCCAGAATCTGAACAGCTGTGTTTCATCACTTATATCGATATATTTCTAATTAAAACTGATCTCACATGCTTTCTCAAACATTAGGCTCCAACATTAGTTATTCTCTCACACAAAACATCAGACTAGAATGCACCAAAAGGCCCAAATAAATTGTGATGATTCAAATTGCGTGATAGATAAATGCTCCATGTAAAAGAAACAGATTAGTGCAGAATAAAGGTTGTGAGGAGGGTGAAAGTGTTTGAAAAGAGCGAGCAGGGTCCGCTTCAGTGACTGAGTTAGGAAACCCAATGTCGCCACCTTTCGGTATAAAAGGCTACTTCATGTGGCTCTGTGAGGGTTCATACAGTATATGACTGATTGTCTGGATGATTTTCTCTTTTATTCTTTTAAATCACGTCCTTCAAAGTAAGATCTCATCTGCTCTCTTGTCAAGGTCACAGCAGATTTAAGAAAATGTATCATGGAAAAAATACTGCTATACTGACAATTACAGACAAATGCTAATCTGCCATGCCTGGTTTTAAAATAAAGGAACACACTAAATCTGGGAAAATAAATAAAATAAAGTCTGTATTTTTAGTTCTTTAACTATTTCAAGTATTAAGAAGTCTTTGTGACGACGCCTCCATCCGTGTCATTTTAGAGTCCACAGTCCCATGTAGTGATCACCAGTCTCTCTCTACGTCTCTCGGTTTCTCTCTCATTCCTCAGGAGTGGTGGCACATAAGAACAAACAATAAGGAGGGTCTATACACAGAGGAGCGGAGAGTAAATAAGAGCACTCTCCCCGGAACATGTCACACGGGAAAGCTTCAGAGAACTACAAAGCCGCCAGCAGATAATCCAACTCCCCGGTGTCCCAACACAAGTAAATATTCTCTTGGTCCCTGTGACTGTTCATGGGGACTTAACGTTAAACAGGGAGGATAAACATCGTGTTTTATTCATCAGAACACACAACAGAGGCCCCTCTGATGCTTTTGAATACATATTAAACAGATGAGGTGTCCCATCAGATGCTGCTATATGTTGTTGTAGTGTAAATTCAGGAAATGAACTTGAAAGTAGCAGCAAAATCTTTTACCTCCTTCAGTGGTATTGCTTTTATACAGAAGGCCTTTAATCCACAATCAAGAGATGATGTCTCCTCGTGGTGTTTTAGTTTAGTAAAAGGAAAATTGGTGACATAACTAAATAAATGTGAGAGTAAATAAAACTCTTCGAACATTTTTCTGTAAACTGGCAAAAATAACTAAAGGATTTTTGCTGCCATTTGTTGCTTTGGTTTTAAAGATGCAACAATAATAATAATGATGTATTGTCATATAAAAGTCACTGGCAGACACAGAGACACTGCAGTTTAAGTTGTGTAAGTGTGTGTCCGTGCAGATCCACATGTCATGCAGCAGTGGACACTATAGCTGCTGCTGCTGCTGTGTGAGCTCCGGCTTCGCCAGATCTCTTAAACCAGGATTTATCGGCCGGGGAGTCTCAAGGGTTAACAAGCAGAGTCCAGAGCCAATGCATCAGCTGTGTTACTGGGGGCTAATAGTCTTGTATGCACCTCGTTCTGTCTCCCTTTGGGGTTTCATGTAGGCAGCTCGCAGCCGTGAAGTTTACTACTGTCGTTATTATATTTGGGGTGATTTTTTTCTCCTGGACTATACAGGGGTTGCACTTAGACATTTATCATGAAATGAGCTTATACTGCAGGAGGGGGGCCCACGTACACAGTGTCAGTATGCAGAGTAAAGTTGTATATGCACATCAGTGTCATATGATTAAATGTATTGAAACAGAAATCACACCAAGTTATGGGAAAGTTCTTCCTCTAACTCTGTTTCCTTACGTAAGAATGATATCAAGCTTTTAAAGCCATAAATACTTAAAACTGTGGTCAGATGCTTTGAGAGTTAAAACACTTGTGACCAGTTGACTCTTCTGTAACTCTGCTGATGTCCTGGATGTGCAGTGTGTGTATGAACCCACTTTGTGTTAATACTCTGGGTCCTTACACGTATAGCAGTAAGTGTTAATGAGACACTGTCTGACCTTTTTAGAGTTCACCCCAGGAGAACACCGATGCATCCTGGGTAAAGGATAACCAGTGCTCGCGGACCTCCCTGTGATTTAGTGGTACAGTGACTTTACTAATTGTTACACCTATTAAAAACATCCTCATTAAAGTATGACTTATGTGCCACGTTGCAATAGACCTCACTTTTATTGTCAGCATGCTAACCTTTCGTTCGCCTCTGGGGTTCCCTGAAGTTACACGTGCACTAACAGAGGATGTGCACGTTGTTTGCTCTGTTAACACCTTTACTGCAGAAATGTTTTGCTTACAAGTATCTATCTGTAGGAGCGGGGACTACTTGTGAGCTCTCAACATCTAAATGTAATAAAATAAATAGAATATTATCACAATGATCTGACAAAGAAAGGAAAAGGAGGAATGAGATTGTTGAGAGAAAAAAGCCTCAATAAAGCTCATGCATCTGCAAGATATTCATTTTATAACCGCACTCACGTTAGTCCAAATCTTAAAATGCCAAAAATAGCCAGAGACATTACCATATTTAACAGTATAGTTAAAATAAATGACAGAAACTAAAGAATTTCTGCATTACCAAGATTATGTCTTCTAATCATTCATTACGTTCCCAATGGGAGGTAGGCTTCATATTCCTTCTCAATCCCGGCAATGCCATATATTAAACTGTGGTGGCACTTCAAATGGGGGACAACCAGATGAGTGGGCTCAGTGGGCTCATCTGAGACACATTTAATTAGCAGGACAGAAAATGAAATGTTTCGTGGGGTCTTAACTAACTGTTGTATCTTTTGTAATAAAATGAGGAGCTGTGAGAAGCCATTACAAGGAAGATCATGAAGAACGGTTAGCACGCTTCCCTCTGCCAGTGTTTTATAGGGGGAATAAAAGGATGCATATTAAGATAATAAGCTTCCACATCGCAGAAACAAAGTGCCATATTTGCAAAGTGTTTGACAGAAAAGGCCTAGTCATCTCTCTCTCTCACACACACAGTATCTCACTGCCCTGCCTCTCCTGTTCTGTATTAATCAGACTTTTACAACCTTTTCGATTCATTTTCCTGCTCAGGAAGCAGGTAGCAGCTCTCAGTGTGCACCGTCTGTTTATATGTGGACGCGACAAGCTGAAAAAACGTCTCTATGGTTAATGGAGGAGAAAAGGGCCTTCAACAAGTTAGTCTGCGCACGCACACACACACAACACACACACGAAAACAGGGTAAAACAATGTCTTCAGAGACAAAACATGGGACGACCTGTTTATATCGATGTGATGGACTAAGGTTTTATTCAGTTCTGTATTTAAAACTCAAAATTCCAGGCACCAAACCTGTAAATGGAAATATTATGCAGAGTAAAACACCAGCAAACATAAAAACAAGTCTGATTCAAATGATTACAAAAACCAGGCTGTGACACACACTTTTCTCTGGCTCGGTGCCGGTGAGAAAGATGCTTCAACCTGGTAATTGGCCACAATGAGCAGACTTGCATGTGTCAGAGTCTCCTCTTCACATCTGGTTATTGTCTCTCACAGCAGGTGGACATCGCAGGCGTCGTCTGAGCAGTCTCATCTACTCTCGGTGTCGGTGTAACAAAGGATGCACTTCTATTATACTGGTTTTATGTCTATGCCAAAAAACACGGTTGCAGGTTACGTCCATGTCTGTCCAGATTGGTAAAAACTTTGAGGGAAATGAATTTAAAAAAGGTATTAATTGTATTTTATCATTATTAGCTTAAGAATTCAGAAGTTACATGTTTTGTGAAGTCACAGTGACCCTGACCTTTGACAGACAAATTCTAATGATTTCATCCTTGAGTCCAAGTGGAAGTCTGTGCCAGACGTAATGAAGTTCCCACCAAGTCCTCCTGATAAAATGCATTGACAAGAATGGAACGGACATGTGGGCACAGTGACCTCAACCTTTGACCTCCGAAATCTACTCAGATCCTCAATAAGTCCAAGTTAACGTTGGTGCCAAAATTTGAACAGGGACTGAGACAGACGGACGAAGAACCTGAAAACAGAACAGCTCTGGACATGGATTCACTGGTGCGGAGGGATAAAAAACAAAAAAACTGCAGGTGTATTTGTTACGAATATGATTTATGACATGAATGGGAAACCGGATGAGGAGATGTGGGTCGTTCACATGTCAGTGAATTAATGATTTTCAAGGGCTGCATGAATACATGAAGGGATGAAATCGGATGTTGCAGGGAAATACAGACGTTCATTCCGGATTCAATATTCCACGTTCATGAATGTAATGTTTACACAAACAAAATGGTAATGT